TAGATTTAGTATATGGTCGTTGGTAAGTTTCAATGATTTGTCAATAGAATAATCGGACATAGTGATTAGTTAGAGAACTAGTATTGCATGCTTGTAAGAAATTAAATGGAAATAGGGAAAATTTGAAGATAGAGATTTCTATAAGCCAATGTTTAAAATTGCTTAAGTGGGTATTGAGTCGTTTTCTATTTGCGAGGCGTTGCGTGAGTGTTGACATATTGTAAGGCGTAAGCCTAATAAGTAAACCGTTAAAGTAATATGAAATACTAAATAATAAGTAAGATACTAAAATCAAAATAAGCTATCAAAGTAAGATCATAGTAGGTCAAAAGAAAGATTATAACAATAAGTTTCTCCCACTTTTAATTCAAGATAATCAAGTGGTTTAAGTTACTAAGGTTATAGTTTATGAATTTGTAAGTTTTCACCACTTTCATCACTTAGTGGGAATCAACATTTCAATGAGTTATTTTATCTCTTTTCTCATCCTCAATTGAAGCTGCAAGTGCGAGGACCATGGTTGAGCGTGTGGCAATGAGTTAGGGAGGTTGTGTGTGTGTGTGTGATTATGATTCTCTGTTATGTTTTAATTAAGATTTAGGTGTACATAAATAACAAAATATGATTTATTTTATATATTAAATTTATAAATTACATATTTAAATCGGTTAAATTCTAGTTTTTGAGGTTGCATCTCTTATAAATTTTGCATAGGCAGACCTTAGACCCACTAAGGTGTACGCCTTCTTAGGCCAATATGATGCTCAAACTTTATGATTTTTTTTTTAAATTGCTCTAAGACAGGCCTTGAGGCGTCCCTTTTATTTTGCTATTTTTTAATATTGGGAAATAACAAATAGGAATGTGATAGGTTTTGTAGGTGGTTAGAGAGATGAAAATAATTAATTTTAGGGGAAGTGGGTTTATTTTGATATTAAGTATTGGGAAGGAATTATAAAATTGATTAGTGTTTATGCCACTCAAGTTTGATTAGAAGATAGCTGATAGCCTGAAATTAATTTTGAGAAGAGTTGAATGAATTATTATAACACATGCCTTAGAATGAGAGGATAATTATTGATGGTAACTTATATAAATTCAAGTATGATGGGTATGAGAGGATTATTGTTGGGTTTATAATAGAAGATAGAGTTTGATGAAATAATCTATATTTAATTTCGCTGAATAATATGTTCTTACAGTAGCCAGCACATGCTTTAAGAAACAAGATATGCACTTACTTTTAAAAGTGGAACCACAAATTTACAAATAAACGTTTAGTAATAAAAATCTTTTTCAAAGATTATGAGGTGGTTTTGAGAGAAAATTTAACCATGGCATAGATTAATAGGTATGGATGTATATCTTACAGAATATAATCGAAGCAAATAATTACATTAGGATTAGATGGTGGAAATAAAATGGCTAGAAGTTGTTAATTTTAAGATGATTATTTAGAGAGGAAATTAAAATCCTATTATTGTGCCCAACTTGGTGTGGGTTGGGATAGCTAGTTGTATTTATAACATTCAATGGAAATTTTAGGTGTATACAAATATGTTGTTCATAAAGAGCTAGTGGTGAAATGAGTAGATATGCAATATTATGAAGGAAAATAAATGTGATTTAAACAATGAAAAAAAAAAAAGAATACTAGGTTTTATAGTGATTATATGAAGGCTAGTAGTCTTGATGTTTTATTTTCCGAGTTATGCACATAAAAGGAGAAAATATGGTACGTCAAATTTCTATAGCAAGAGATACGAGATATAAATATTTTGATCAAGTTAGATGTATTAGAAGCGAATATAGTAAGATGCAATTAAAGATGGTATAAAGTATTAAATGTGTTCTAATGGAGAATTTTTTTATTGAAAAAGACATTGAATATAATTATGAAGTGCATTTTAGATGGATCCTAAATAAAATGAAGTCAATTTAGCTTTGAAGAAGATGCATTGGGTAATCTTAAAAACCAAAGAATATCAAATGATTGGAGAAGTATTTTGGTGATTAAAGAGTAAATGAGACATTTAAGATTATATTAATTATTAGGAAATGAAATTTGTGTTTCATGCAATGAAGTCATGAGAATTTGCAATGGAATATAGTCTTAGGAAAATCAAGTTAGTAATCAATTTGGATTTATGGTAGAAAGAGCCCCTATATAGGTGTTTTTATGCTAAATTGGTTTATGGAAAAGTATTGAGATAGAAGAAAAGGATGTTTTTTTTTTGGTGTTTTTTGAAATTCCTATGATTGAATACCGTGGCAATTGATTTAGGGCCATTTAAGAAAATGCATAATAGGTATGTTGAAGTTATTAAAAGTATGTATAACGAAGCATTCATTGACTAATAGTAAAATTAGTTATAGAATGATCAAAGAGTTCTAAATCTCTGAAGGATTAGAATGATCATGATTAAATTTATGCTATTTTTATAATAGTAATGGAGGTTCTTAAATTGGAATATTCAAAGCTACTCACCATGCTGTATTTGCAAATGATAGTTTGAATTATTCAAACCTCAACTAGAGTTAGTTGAATGCTATAACAATGGAGGAAATGCTTAGCATATAATTGGCTTAGTTTAGAGACTATATTACATTTAATTTTAGTGGGTTTATATTTGTGTGCGTGTGACATGTTAAGAAATTCAATTAGCTTTGGTTCTCTTACATAAAAGAGTGATAATACAACAATTGGTGCTTGTATCATGGACACTTGTAGAACTTTCGTAGGTCTTGTAAATTTAACTTTGATAAATAATGAATTTGTGAATTAAAAAAATTTGGATGCCAATACTTTAATTTGAGTTAAATCCTAAAAATTATGTGGTTACAAGGGGATAAGTTGTTATAATTATTTCAGTTTTGATTTACAAAGATTAGATTTAGGAATTTTGACAACACTCAACAAGAAAGAATGAAAAATGACGATTGATAAGATTGATGCCAAATAGTTGGGATTAAGGTAATGATGATAACGCAATTGGGGGATTTACCTTGGTGTGGTTGTTTTTTTATGGTAAGTAGGGTTTGTAGGCGTTGTAAATTTAAAAAAAAAATCAAAATTTTGATGCCAATAGTTTAATCTGAGTTGATTCCTGAAAATTTTGTGGTTGCATGTGAAGAGGATATAATAAGTTGATTTAGGATTTATATTAGATTTACAAACACTAGTTGTAAGACTTTTTAAACACTTACTAGGAACTAATGAATAATGAGGTTCAAGAGGCCAATTTTAAATATTTGGGATATAGTAAATGATTATCATGATATTATATTTATGATATTTTTGTTTTTATAACTAGAATTAGTGATCCCTTTGTGTAATTAGTGCTTAATTCTTGTTACCACTATAACTATATTTGGTTTGATGAATCCTGGCTTTAATCTCTAATTATTATCGATAGAGGTTAATTATTATTCATGAGATTAATTACATTAGATCTAGTCGTCTTTCTTCCCAACCATTTTACTGCCTTCTGCATTGGTTGTTATTCGTATTCTTCTTCGTCCACCTCTGAGGTGGATAGGAGTGCTGTAGCGTGGGTCAAAGACTAATAACTGTGTGCATACTCCGTTAGTTGCTGCATTGGCTGTGGCACTATTGATTCTACGAAGGATGTTCGGGGTGGGAAAGAAACTGTGACGGTTGAATAGGTACATTAAGGTATTGCAAGCAGAGGTGGAGCTGTAGAAGTGTTCTTGAGACAGAGAGGCAGAAGCGCTGGCCAGCAATGGAGCTTGTAGTGTGTGGAGTTGATGGTCAAGAGAGGCTAGAGAGATAATGAGTTTTTGGAAAAAGAAAATATTGTTTTGTGATAGGAAACACTTGTAGATCCCAAGTTTTTCCTATCAACCTTCGGAAAACAGCTAGTTTTTTTTCAAAAGAATCCCCACAAAACCACGAAAACAGTTGATAATTTGTATTATTTGATGAAAAGGAAGCGGAAAATATCAAGATACAATTGATCCTCTATTAGAGAGGAAGATCAATTTCTCCCAATCTCTAGACGCCGCTAGAGCCCAAAAGAAAATCTAGTTCTAGGAGATCTCAAATTTCAGCCAAATTTAAGATGCCCTAACCCTATGAAAACAAACTATTTAATACATAAAATTCAAAAGGAAATCTCTAAACAATCCCTACATTCAAATTTCCCTCCTAACTCCCTAAAAAATCCTTCCTAAATTGCTCCGTGGGATTTGCGGTTCGGTCGGGAGCACAAACATGCGGAAAACGTCTGCCTGTTTCGCATGATCTGGTCCATACGGGACCGGCTGGACCGGTCTAACATTTTGTGATTGACTTCATTGACTTGCATTACTAATGACGGCAGCTTCACTATTAAACAATTCAGCTCCATTGCTATGTTTGGCTTTTAAGGATGTAGCATGAACTAAAAAATTAAAAATGGGTTGTATTCCTGCAATACATGAATTTCAGTGTCATGAGTCTTATGTTTCTACAAATTGAATCAATCATCCTTTGTGCTTTGACGCTAAGGCTTGCAATACAAGAATTTTTGTGTTACGAGTTCGTTTATTTCTTTATGTGAATGTTGAATCTTTTTCGTTTGAGATACTTCTCTTCTTCTCTTCTGCTGATGAATAATGAGTGTAAGGTTGAAAATTGTGTTGTATAAGCAGGATTAAGAAATCATGCATCTTATTGTGCTGAATAGTATGAAGATATGATTTAATAGGCTAAAATTTAGTAATATATTTTTACTTTGGTTTACTTTGTCTTACATCAGTCCTCTTTCTTCATTGACCTTTCACTTGATTTTTCTCCTTTTGAAAATTTTTTATCTGCCAGCATTGTTGGTGCGATGAATAATTTAGCAGACATGGCAAATATTGCTTTTAATATGTTTTTGTATCTGTTGATGACAGTAAAGACATTTTAGTGTTTATGCGAGGACCCTATACTAAATAAGATGCTTACTTTATGTTATTTTGGGTTAGAATATTCTTAATAATCCTTAAATTTGCAGCTTCATTCCAAAATGTTCAAGGCAGTCAATCAGAAAATGACCCAAATAACACCACCGTGCGTACTCAATTCTTTATGTATTTCCCTAACAAACAAGATATGGTGTCAATTTACACTAACAAGTTCCTCGTGAGTTCAGATATTTGTTGGTGGGCTGGATCCAAATGTTTCAGAAGACCTCCTGCGACAGGTTTTTAGCCCATATGGAGAACTAGTTCATGTAAAGATACCTATTGGAAAACGTTGTGGCTTTGTTCAGTTTCTTAACAGGTCACTGTTTCAAAATCACAAAAAAAAAAATTTCTTTAGAAGTAGGCGTCTTTTTCTTACGAGAAAATTTTCTGAATGCTCTCCAGGGCTTCTGCAGAGGAAGCTTTACTGATGCTTCAGGGTACCCAGCTTGGTGGGCTAAAGATTCGGCTTTCATGGGGTCGTAATTCTTCAAATAAGCAGGTTTAATTTGTTCATAGCACTATGTCAATGCACATGACTTATGTTTTACAGTGGAGCTAAGTCAATATATCGTTGACTCTTACAATCTCAGCAGCAGGACGGTAATCAGTGGAATGGTGGCAGCTACTATGGCTTTGGACAAGGCTATGAAGCTTATGGATATGCTCAAGCTCCTCAGGACCCCAACATGTATGCTTATGGAGCCTATCCAGGATATGCAAACTTTCAGCAACAGCAGGTACAACTTTATTTTTAACCTTGTAAATTGGAAAAAGGAAGGAAGCAATTTACTTTGTCTTTTTCAGTTGGATTACATCAAGGACCAGGCTTAAGCCCATATATTTTTTTATTTAGTCATGGATGTTCGCACTAGATATCTGCGAGAGGTTGTACCATGGTGTATGTTTTTTGCTGATGATATTCTTCTTGTTGACAAGATTAGAGAGGGAGTTGAAGGTAAACTTGAAGTATGGAGGTCAACCTTAGAGTCTAAAGGCTTTTGTTTTAGTAGATCTAAAAATGAATATATGGAATGTAATTTTAATTATAATAGTTCTAGTGGGGGATTATGACTTTGGGTGATTTAAGTCATTAATAAGAGTACATGCTTTCGATATCTTGGGTCTATTGTTCAGAGTGGTGGTGAAATAGATGGGGATATTATTAGTAGAATTCAAGTTGGATGGTGAAGTGGAGAAATGCATCAGGCTTGTTGTTTGATATAATAGTCCTCAAACTTAAAGGTAAAATTATATAAGATTGTGGTTAGACATGCAATGCTTTATGATGTAGAATGTTGGCCATTAAAAGAGAAGCATAATATTAAGTTTTGTAGTGATGAGAATGCTCTGGTGAATGAGTGGCTTTACTTGTAGAGACAGGGTACGAAATGAGAATATACGTGAAAATTTTGGAGTAGCTCTAGTGAAAGATAAGCTTAGAGAGAGTCGTCTTAGAAAATATTATAAATGACATTTCTTTATTAGATATAAACGAGAATTTGACTTCTAAGAGGACACAATGGAGAAAAAGGATTCATGTAGCCAATCCCACAGTGGGATAAAGGCTTGATGTTGTTGTTGTTGTTGTTGTATGTATAACTAATTTATTTTCATCTTTGCAGTGAACTACTATGGACTGCAGTGCGCTCGATTTGCAGATTTAGCATTTGGCAAGCTGTAACTTTGGGCTTAAATAGAAAACATTTTATTGTTGCGGTTTAGGGTATAGCTTAGTGTTGATATAATACATTGTGTTCGACTCATCTTGATAGGCTGCATCAATTTGTTCCTTGAACTTCCGTTGGGAGAGTGGCGTCTATGGTTACTTTCTTTTTGTATAATGTGTGTGATTGGAGGCATCAAATTATCGTAGGCATTGCTGTTTTTGTGGAAGTGGTTAGATCATTAATGCATGTGGGACTATCAATATTTTGTCTTTCTTTATGCTACGGTTCTCTTTTTTTCATATTGTCTGGTTTTGCTTTATTAATTCTTTATTATTATTATTATTATTATTATTGGGTCTATTGTATGTTGTTTATATATCTTTTTATTTGATGGCGTTATATTCTGCATCTAATATCTAATTATTTATGTCATTCTAGTTTGCAATTAAATCAATGAACATGTGGATGCTGACATGCTTTATTTTATATCAATTAATATTAATAGTTTTTAAGATAATTTTAAAATTAAACTATTAATTAAATGATAAACAAATTTGTGGCAAATTATATCACATGGTACCGAATGTTGTGCTATTTACTTATATAACACATCAAAATTTTAATAATATTAATTTACATCTATGAAGAAAAATATTTTTATTTTAATAAATATTATGACTTAAGAATATAAATTTAGCTTTTATTTCAATCGAATTAAAAAAAACTAAAAAACACAAGCTACCAAAGGTACGAAATGGTTATGATGCTTAATATACCATCATGTCAGGATCTACTCTAAAAAGTCACAGTTAACTATTCCTTAATGGCATGCAAGGAATGCAACAATAAAATTATCTATTTATGCAATATTACTCGCTCAGAGAGAAAATAATGCATCCGTGAAAAATTGGGTATGGCCAATTAAAGATGTATATGAAAAATATTTCAGTAAACCATAAAAGTACTGTCAATGCAGGTCTTCCAAATTTGGCTGGCAACTTGATTAGCGCTCAACATGAACATATATATATACAGACGTGCAAATTGAAGAACTACAAAATATTATCTTTTATACAAAAATATCAGATGAGTCAAAAGCTTTTACAAGAGTAAGTATATGAATCATGTATTCAACCAACTGTCAAGATACTATTACTATTTTAAGAAGCTCATCGGAGTAATATGCACTTGCCTCTAAATGCAAGTAGTCTTCATTGGCTGAAGTGTTTTGGAGCAGTGGTGATCAGCGTTGTTGCGGGTCCTGAACTGGAGGAGCAGCAAACCTTGCATTTGCTGGCTGGGCTACAATCACATTATCATCAGCAAACAGCGATTTGATGAAAGCAGGAGTCTTTAGGGGTCGTCGGCCGGTCATCCGGGGGTACACATCTTCCAGATAATAATAAGCATGACCTGCCACCATGCCCTAAACCCACAATAAAGAAGAGCAGCAAGGCATGAAAAGTAAAGCTTTAAGATTTTCATTAAGATTTTCTGTCAAGAAAAGGAAAAATTATTATGTGCGGGTCCGGATTCATCCGGAGACTAATAAAAATACACCACATCGCCCCGAAAATGTATCGCGCTCGATACCGAGTGCTCGGTACAGAGCGCAGAACCGGACGGTTCTCCCCCCGTCCGGTGTCCGCATAGAATAATCTCTCCAAGAAAAAAAAGCAGAATATTTCTAAATCTCTCTTGACAAAACCTAAAAGTCAATTAACATACCAGAAGATCAACCCATGTGCTGGTACCCACAAGAATGGAGAAACCAAGGAGGACCTGTAACATAAAAGAAAAAAAAAAAAAACAATTAGTTCACTCCATAGTTTTTTATGACAATAAAAACAGGCACACCTAACCAAATGTTTGCAACTGCACAATATTGAAAACTCAAGTCAACGGAAATCTAATTTCTAGCCACCACGAGTGGATGCTAAAACTTCAAAAAAGACCCATCGTTCGTTCCGCTTTTCCTTCCTCTCATGCTCGCCTCACTACTGCCATAGACTCTGGAAAAACTTATTTTTTTATGCGAAAGAAACAACAAAAAAGCAAATGTAATAAACACCCAAATCATAAAAAAATGAGATCAAGCATCACATAAATATGAAAATTTACGTGATTTATCTTATATATATATATATTGGGTTATAATAAAAAGAAAAAATGAAATAATGTATTAGAAAACTTGTTAAAAAAATAAAAGATGTTTGAATAAAAACAGAAAAAAATCGAGGAATATTTTGTATTTTTGGAAAATTTAAATATTTTCAAATTTGAAGTATATCATCTATATTTTATTATTTAAGTTTTTCATCCTCATACAATTCCTCACATGAATTTCATGAAATAACGAAAAAATAAACAACATAGTACCTTGTGAGAAATATCATTTTCAGTCACCAGCATGTTGGCATTATATGCAACTATGGAGATAAAATAACGGAAGTTCCAGAACCCACTCCTTAGACTAATGATATTGAAATATTAAAACAAAGCAAAACCATGCACATCAAAACGAAATTAAAACACAGATGTCTCAACACGAGATGCATACTTCAACAAAATGCAAAATTTTCTTGGAATAAAATAGCAGCAGCGTACATCACTACCAATTTTCAGAAAAAATGAATATCTCATAGGGCCATGAGGCACATGTTGGAAACCCTACGTAGAATACTTAAACGATAGAGTAGATTAAAATTTCGTTTGGGACAGCTTTCTCACTGCTTCTCAAAGCAGCTTTTTGAGCTGCTTTAAGAAGTAAAAAAAAAAAGCAGTCACAACCAAAAGCCTAAATTGCAGGGAATATTAACAATGGAACTCACCCAAGGTAGGTAAGCAGCGGTAAAGGTGAAAAGGCCAAGGAAGCTCATGTGGATATAGGGATTGTGCTTGCTCCAGACATAAACCTAAAACATAAACCAGATTAGTAGCCAGAATTATGCATGCCAAGTTAAAAATATTAAGGATTATGGATAAATTATCGAACAATAGAAGCTTATATGAAGAAGATCAAACCTTGGCCACAAATTTTTGCATGGATTTCCATAGTATTATAACCGGTTGAAAATATTATTCACAAGGAGTTTGCATCAAATCCATAATAAATTTATGAACAGAATGCTTGGAGTACCTACCATCATGAAGGTCAATGAGTTGCTTAGAAATAGAATCTTTGCAAAACTTGCAGAAACATATGGAATCATGCCACCAACGAGAACAATCCCAGTCAAAACCGAGGCACCAAATAGAAGCATATAAAAGAAATCTGCAGTTCGTCCCCTGAATGAGTTCTCCTCAAGTAGTTTGCAATATCGAGCAAGGAAGAACATGTGGAAGAGAAAGTCCAAATCTGTTCAAAGCATACAGCATGATCATACATATGGTAAAATGGAAACATACATGAAAGAGAAAAAAAAAAATTGCATGTGACATTAATAAAAGGCATGGATGGCAAAACCATGTGTCCATTATAATCAAAATTTAAAATAACAAAAATAGAGAAACCACGCCACATGCAAAGTGTAAGAATATACGAACATCACACTAAGTGCAAAAAGTGTAAAGACAACATACCAGAAGCCTCTATCACTATAAATTGCTATTCATCATCTTAATCATTAACTTTTTCTACTATTTGGGTCAACTTATGAATCTTCATCCACGTTTTGCCTCCGCAAAATATCGCACAAGTTAAACAAGTCAATTCAAAAAATTGTCCAGTTTTATCCAAGCTACGTCTTTTTCTTTATAATCCATTTAAATTAATTATATATCTATCTATCTTATAAGCATATCTTTTACCCTTAGTTACACATGCCCAAACCATCAATATCTATTCTTATCATCCCTCTAATAAAATTATTTTTCAATCCATCCTTTTTAGATTTTCAGAAATTTCATCAGAACAATTTTATTCCTACCCTAAACTTGCCTATATGCTACTAATCATGCATGTAAAAAACAGGGGTAAAAACACGCACTTTTAACTTTTAAGAGCATTGCTAGGGAAATTTTAATTGTTTTGAAGAAGCACATCCATGAATTTTACTAAAAATTATAAGGAAACGAAGTTCTTTATTAAATCCTTCACTGACAATACTCTTAAATAAGATAAAGCAAGCAAAGAAGAAGTGTGCACTCAGGTTCTACACTTAGCAAAATTGAAAGGTAAATCATAACATATGAAAACAAAATGTAAAATGAGGAATTTGAACAGAAAACTTCATGGCATACCTAAATGCTAAAGAAATAATCAATCAATATACTGATATTCAAACATGACCAATAGGATTCCGAATCAACTCCTTTAAGAGTACATTGCAATGGTATTTCAATTGTTTAGAAGAAGCATCAGTAGAACTTTTACTAAAAACTACACTGATAAAGTTTCAGATATTTTTCATTAAAAAGTACGCTTTAAACAAGATAAGAAAAGGTTTAATCCAAAACTTATATGTCATGCCTTAAGGCTACAAAAATAATCATTTGCAATATACTGATATCAATACATGAAGGAAATAATTCTGAAACATGCACCTTAGAGAGCACACGCAATGGGAATATGCTTTGAAAAAAAAAAACATCAATAGTACTTTTACCACAAACTACAGCGAAAGAAAGTTCTTCAAAGAAAAACTTCATTAAGAACTAATCACTAGACATGGTAAATCTGACAATTAGTCTGCGCAATCATTGCTTTTACAAATAAATTTCAGTTAAGCAAATATATCATACTTACAAGTTGCCACTGACTTAGGATAACCAGGTGAAATGTAATTTTTCCCACATGGAGCCTTAATCATGAGAATTAGATTGTATTTACAGTTTCACACATTTACACAAAACAAAGCAAGAAAACTAACGAAATTCCTAGAGCATGCCATCTTAATCAATTAGATATAAGATTCTCCAATAATAAACTTTTCTAGTAGGCTGAATGACCAAGAAGAGCACATAAACACTATTAATTCCAAATCTTGCACTTTGTTTTCACGAGCTTTTCAATTATGAAACCAAGTATCATATCCAACATTAGCAAATAATTGACTATAATAGAATCAATATGTATGAATATACATATTGGATCCACTACTACTACCCAAATATAGGTACCCTAAAAAAAGAATTTTGAACAATAAGTTCATACTATCAAAAGTAAAGCATCAAATATATGACATGACAATCCTGAAACATCAATAAATCAATGAAGCGCATAGATTTCAGCACATTCAAAATCCTTCAACAACATTAAGTATTCAATAAAATGTATCACATGACAATAGAACTCTTAAGGCCTTATTGGTTTGGAAGAATTGAAAAAGTGGAAATGAAAAGTAAATAGAAATTAAAAACGGAAAAGGAATCGAACTGAAATTGTTCCATGCACTTGTTTGGCAGATGATTATTTGGGTCGAAAAGTAATTTTCCATTTCTTTATGGTTTGAAGGAATAATCAATGAATTGAAGAGTGTAGACAGCTATAATGCAATGCATACTTCAGTTCTACTTCAAATTTTCACTGGGTTACAAAAAAGAATCATAAATAGAAATCTGCATATATTCTAACTTCCCTGGTAAAGTCAATAGCATATAACGCCCAAACCAAACATTCAAGATGTTATTATGACGCAAACCTCATATCCTTTACTTAATTCCTCCAAAGCCAAACAAAATCTAAAATATCATAAATAAACAAAAGTCACAAGAAAAAGAACGCTGCACAATGAAGTAGTGCTGTATTCAAAATGCAGAAACTTTTGAATCATTAAACAAAATTGTCACCAACTGTATCACACGGAAGCAAAAATGACGTATTTAATTATTATAACTTCTGGACTTCACAAATATCAATACGCACTATTTTTCCAATTTAGACGTCTTACCCATTTTCCTGAAGTAGAAGAAGTTTGTAATAAGCCTCCAGATCTCATAGTCCTTAACCACGAGCTTAGGATTCAGATACAAATGATAAGGAGATATGATCTGCCAAAGACAATCCAAATACAATCAGCAAGAGCCAAAACTTCAATCTAGCAAACCATCCTCCAAATAACTTAAAATATGAATAATATAAGAAAGTAATCACAAACTTATATAGGCCAGAGACTTCAATTTGCAATAATAAATAAATAAATAAGTCAATCAATCAAACGGCTCAACAAAATAAAAAAATTATTCAACATCCTAGAAACTGCAACGGAAAAACCGGGGCATCGGAATGACAAATCTCAGACAACTGGACTAGATGAATCCAGATCTGATGACGCATGTAAAAAGATCAGTACCCTAACAACATCAGAAGGATTACAAAATACGCACATCAAGGGAGCAGCCGACGGTTGTGACAACGGCGGCCGTAAGATAAGACCGCGTGATGATCGGCATCTGCTTGTACCATTCCTCCACAGCCTGCGCCATTCCCTCACTTACTTCTTAGAAGCTATGGATCCGCTTATACCAACTGAAACCCTAACCCTAACCCTAGCCTCAAGAGGTGGCAAGAAGTTTCGCGTGTGGGAGGACGGTCAGCTGCGGCCGAATCAAATTTCTGTACGAGAAGGAGAGAACTGCAATATATATAAAAAAAAAAACTGAACCGATTTGGAATCTTTCCGGCAACCCGCTTTATATACTATCCATCCTCACAAGCTTAGCAAGCTAACACCACGTCAGTTCTAGCGGTTCCAACAAATTAAAATCTGCCGCGTGTACAGCATATCGAGCAATATTAATTGGCTATTTAAAATAAGTTTTCTCCGTTGAAGGAAGATTGTGTCTCTTAAGAATTAAATTACTCAAACATTTATTAATTACCATTCTTAAAAATTAATTAAATTTAACTTTCATGTTTATATAAATGTTCCTTTTTTTAATTTTATTTTTCATAAGAAATATATGTTTATATAAATGCTATCTTATATATATGACAAATATTGTTAGAGAATTTCTCTCATAAACACATTTGATCTTACTTA